TCGGAAGGGGAGAAATCGGCCCAAAATCAGCCCGATTATCTTGTGTTGTGTACCCAGCATTATTGTCATGAAAATATAATTCTAAAGGAACATTAGTATACATCATTCAAATGTTTGTTTTTGAAAGATATTAACTTCTATTCAAGATGCATTAAATTTATTAAAAGTGACAGTAAAGACATTTACAGAAGATTTATTTTTAAAATAAAAGCTGTTAATTTGAACTCTTTACTAATCAAAAAATTCAACAAAAAAAAAGTATCAGGGTTTCGATATTGATGTTTCTTGAGCAGCGAATCAGCATGTTAGTATGATTTCTGAAGGACCATGTGACACTCGACTTAAAATTTAGCTTCACTCTTGCACTGTGATTTGTGTTTTCCACATGACTTTCAAATCAGCTTTTCATGAGTCTGGGCTGGTATTTCTCTATAATTTTTCACTCCATCCTCACTCATATTTTGTGTGGTTTTGTGATGTCGGTTTCATTCTCTTCCTCTTTCATTTGTAGACCACACATTTAAAGTATGTTTTCTTATTCAGTCTGTTTTGTGTGGTTTCTTCTGGCCATTAGGAACCTGTGACGGATGTTCTTTCGGAGATGTTTCCTGACACTGCCAAAACTCCTACTGGAATCTAGTGAGTACCATCTGTGATACTTTTCTCATAACTAAATACTACCATTGTTCACAAACTATGGACTCGCATGCCTATATTTCAATTCACCATTGTAAATGAGTTCTAAAGTCTTTTTGTTCTGCCTGCAGTGCTACAAAGAGACGGCCTATAAAGGGAGCTGCGGGCCGCCCCGTGCAATTTAAATACCCTGAAATGCCGCTACTGAGTCCCACGACACTGGAGAGGCAGGAGATTCAGCAGCGTCTGGTGCCTCTGTGGGTTCAGATCGTGGTCTTCCTCCTGGTGGTCTGCCTGCTGTACCTCATCTACGCATCCATGGAGGAGCCGCTATCCAATCCTTTCACTGCTCTGCTTGAAGGTCTGCAAGAAGCTGCTCTCATATACACCTCAGAGGACTAATCCACCACTGACGCTACAGCTTAGGTGTGCAACACGGATGCCAAAGAAGGTTCATTCAAATTTACCTCAGGCTCTAGTCAGCCAAGTGTCCTTCAGACGATTATCTTTTTAAACTGGTATCAGAGGAAACTGTGTGATTGGACTTAATGAAACACAAAGAGAGCTACATCAGAACACCTGCCTTCACTTGCTTTCAAAGACCATATAGGATGTTAAACTTGAGTTGATGAGATATGTAGTTGGCTAATCCTGTGCATGGTGTTTTCTCTGATTGATCTTTTACCATAGATGTGTATTTTATACAGTTTATTTGAGATTTGAGTCTTATACAGCTGGACTAATGAGTCATATGATATCTTGCGGTTTTTAATGTGTACCTTTTGTTTGTTTTATTTAAAGTAAATAAATTTGTTCTCCTAAGATTGTTCTGTGTTTTAATAAAGATACACATATGTAAATTAATTTATATTAACACCAAGATGGTCTCTAGATGCCAAATTTGTGTAAATCGGGCCCATTGTCCTTCAATTCAGAGCCCAAAAATGGGGAAATAATTGCATTCTTATTAATAGCTGTACTGTGTGAACCTTTAAAAAGATTCAATATCAGAAAACGGTGATTTGAGTTTCATTTGAATTGCAGCTGCTTTTTTCTCTATGAAATATGACCTTACAAATATGTGGTGTAATGCAGCTCAATCTTCTGCAGATTACTTCAAATTGTTCATTTATTCAAAATCTAATGATTGATAATATTAAGTATCTCTGTTGCTTATTATTCAAACCCCAGCAGGTGATTAAAAAAAACACATCTAAACTGCTTTTTACATTTGTGATTGGCTCCACACCAGCCCAGGCCTCTTATGTTGCATGACCAGTTGTGTCAATAAGGCAATAAAAAATGTGAACCCTGATCATGCAGATGACTGTCATTCCTCCTGAACTTCTGAAAGATGAAGACCAAAATCACTAAGACGACAATTTTGAAATTTTTTGGAATACTGCTGTTAATCCTTGTACTTTCAGTTTTAATTTTATTTGCTGTTGTGATCGGTAGGACATTTACATTTAAAGTGAACACAGAACTTGGACAATGGGAAAATGCAACAACAATTTATCCCACTTTAAGTCCAGAACAGAAAAAGCAGCTGCTGGGAAATTTGAAAGGTAAGAAAAGCCTAATTGTATCAAAATTATACTTGTTTAGGAATTTAAATGCTTCATAAATTGGATGGAGAAAGTAATAGTAAATAGGTAAAGAATTGGAATTTGGTTATTTTCAGACAATGCTAAATTAAAATATTAAATTAAATGTCTTGATTACCATAACTTCTTTGGGTCAATATTCAGATTATAAGAAATTGGAGTAAAACAGCTTGCATGCCTGTATTAACCCTGTACAGCCTGGTTTTTTATTGATGGGGAGAAATCTATAATGCAATGCAATGCAATACAACGATAATTGAGGGATCAAATAAATGTTCCTTAAAACACTGAACTATCTGATACATTTTAACATGATTTTTCTAATATATATATA